CCGCCGATCGCCTATATGTGCTCTTTTGCGTCCGCAGATCTATGCTTCATCAGCTTCTTTTGGGGTCCACAGGTGACATTAGGGGTCCTAGAGACCCCTAATGTCTCCATAAAGAGGACCTGTCAGTGTGCCTTTGCTATTATATAGGGGGATTGTTATCCCCCTATATAATAGCAATAACAATAAGTGCAAAAAAATAAATATAAATAAAAAAAAATAAAAGTAACACATAAAAAAGTAAAATAAAATAAAAGTCACATATAAAAAAAGGGGAAAAAACCCCCCCAAAATGTTTAACTCCCCCACCCCCACGTTTACGCGCCTATAAACGTAAATACGCGTCCGGTGCCCCAGCGCGCAAAAATTACAATTGCGCTACACATGTTACATATCGCCGCGAACGTCGCAGTGAGAGCAATCATTTTAGGGCCATCAATCACTGATAACACTAAACTGATGAGCGGTAACAGCTTTTAAAGCGTCGCCTATGGCCAATTTTGGGTATTATCGTTTTTTGAGGTTTCGCGCGCGCACGCAATTTTAAGGCTTGACATGTTTAGTGTCTTTTTACCCGACGTGACCCCATCTTTTATATTTTACCAAAAAATTGGGTAATAATAAATGTTTTATCATTTAATATAGGGGAAACTGTTTTTTTTTTTAAATTTCGGTAATTTTTCCTTAATATAGTAAAAAAATAAAACCCCCAGTGGTGAATAAATACCACCAAAAGAAAGCTCTATCTGTCCCCAAAAAAGGGTATAAAATTCATTTCAGTACAGCGCTGCATGACGGAATAAATGTCAGTCAAAGTACCGCAGCGCTGAATACTGAAAAATGGCCTGGATGGGAAGGGGGTTTAACACCGCGGATGTCAACTGGTTAAACAATGACAAATGGGTGGAGCCGCCCGTGACATCACTGCTAGCTCCGCCCAATTTTTTTGTTTTTGTTTTTGTTTTACTTTTTTTTTTAAATCTTTATTTTTTTTAGATTTTACATTTAGTTACATTTTTAAATCTTTTTTACAACTTTTTTTACAACTTTTTTATTTTATTTCGTATACTGCTCGGTACCACAGAGGTTCCAAGCAGAATAGCCGAGTGGGATGTACGGCTGAAATCAACCATACTGAGCCGTAGCCGAACATTGTTTGGCTCACTACGGCTAGGTTATTCACTTGGCTGCCTCAGACAGCTTAGTGAATAACCCTGTAAAATGTTGAAACATCAAGGAGCAGCATTCACTGTAAGTGATTTGATCAGCATGTAAAATAGCTTAAAAAACCCTTGACTTTAATATCACTTTAAGCATATGAGGTGTATATGTGTGTATGATATCTCCTTTTTTTATTCTCTAGCTTTATTTATCACTTTTAGAATGGTGTTCCAGGAATGGCAGATTACTTGCAACAAAATAATTTCAAGCAGTGGGGTGGGTTGATATAGTACAGCTATGCCTGGATTAAAAAAAAAGAAACAGGTAGATAGACCATATCACCTTTGTACATAACAGGGCTTAAAGAATAACTAAACCTTCGAAAGATTGCCAACCTTCTCCAACCCCTCCCATTCCTCCTATACACCCTACTATAGACCTCAAGTCAGCCAATTATCTTCTTAGCCCACCATGGCTGATGGCGGCTCCAGTGGTTCTGAAGTCTCTTGGGTCATGGGTCATGGCGTACCAAGCACATGCAGAATTTATCCGTAGGCCCCAATGAAGAAGAAATCTCCTTGGGATCCCAGTGTTCTTCTATTGCCATTGGGAAAGAGCAATAGGAAGGCTGAGGGGGATTTTGGGCAAAAAAAAAGAAAGTAAAGTTATTCTTGAAGACTGGATATGTACACAGGAATTATGTTTTTTAACTTTTTCCTTTTCTTCCTGGCATAGTTGTAGTATACTAAACTACCCCACTGATTCAAATCTTATTGTTGCGAGTAATGTAATATTCCAGGAACACCTGTTTCTCACCCACATGAAGATGCATACCATGTATCATCAACCCTGCCTTGGTAAATTCCTTGATATTCTTCACACATAGAAGTTGCATTGAACATAATCATGTAACAAGAAGCTCAGCCTTACCTAAAAGCAAACATGAGGATTCTGCAAATCCAACAGAAACGTATTGAAATTGCTAATAATAATAAGGTATGGGATCTAGAAATTCTATTAATAATTGATGAGCACCTATAGACATTATGGCTGATATAAAAAGCAGCCATAATGCTGCTTTTCAAACAACTAAATCTTCTAGCACATTGTGCTTTACAAATGTGCTTTTCACTCTAACATCTAATCGATGGGAACAATAAGTGGTGGTGGGAGGTGGATACTTTTAGGGAGTGTGCTCTGCAGCTTTTTGCAGAGAACACCCCAAAGGACACTGCAGGCTCTGCACGGCACTCTATATCTCATAAATTAGATGTAAAAATGAAGGCACAGGGTAGAGTAAACTCTGCAGTTTCCTATGTATAGCTGTATCCGCCCTCTGTTATAAATCATCCCCATTGTGTTGTTAACTCCCAAACTTGAACAGTTATATGATCTATCTTACAAAAGGCTTAGACTTCTTAAAATATTTTAGTTTTAAGTGGAGCGTGATGGGCTGCGTCAACCCCTAGCTTTCATAAGTCTTGGAAACACCTAGAGCAAGATCCCTCATAATCCCCAAATTCCTGCCTACCTGGGAGTATTGTATTGGCTGTTTCTACCCACCTTTGCATGCCCTGGGACTTCCTGTTGTTTTAATAATTAATGTAAAATTTCACAAAAACTGATGGGTGGGAATCTCTAATAATGAACACAGCAGTTGTGTAGGTCTAGGGCAGGGGTCAGCAACCTGAACCGTAGCCGCATGTGGCTATTTCACCCCCCTGCTGCGGCTCCCTTTCCAGGGGAGATCGGCACCGCAGATGGTATGTGCAGAACTGATCTGCCCTCGAACAACTGTTCGGTCCTGAAATGTCACTTCTATCCGACTTTGTGAGTGGGGTGGAATGTGAGATCGCACTCAGTCGGATAGAAGTGACATTTCAGGACCGAACAGCTGTTCCAGGGCAGATCAATTCTCCTGCACATACGATTTGCGATGCCAATCTGCCCTTCAACAGCTGACAAAGCGTTAAAATGCTTGAGCTATTGGTGGTCACACATTCCACCGCCAAAAAACTGGGCGTGATTACAGTGAAATGTGTGACCACGTCACCGGTCACACATTGTAACGTAGTCACAAACTTTGATAGAACACCGCCATCAAGGGGGTACGGCTGGTATCCATGTGAGAAGTCTGGGCAGCCTGGGGGGGTCTCTTACCCCCCCCAGTGGTATCAGCTGTACCAGGGGTGGCATGGCAGTGGTGACAGGGGAGGGGGTGGAGGAGGCCAGGCCCCAGCAGCACTAGGTAAGAGGAGTTGGGAGGAGGTACAGGTAAAGGGACCCCTGAGTCCAGTGCATTACTAAGCCCTGAGTCCAGTGCGTTACTAAGCCCACATATACCTATATACATAACATAAAGGTAAAAAATTATATATGCAGTGTTATCTTCATTTTAGATGTCAAAAGGGTTTTGTGGCTCCCGGTGTTTTCTTTTCTGTGGGAAACAGGTCCAAATGGCTCTTTGAGTGTTTAAGGTTGCTGACCCCTGGTCTAGGGAGTGCAGAAATCTCACTAAGGCTGGCCATACACCTATCAATTCTTTTCGTTCAACCCGCGGGCTGAACGAAAACAATTGATCCGATTCCTCCATCAACACAAACAGCGTGTCGGGCGAGGAATCCTGCTGTTTCCATTGAGGGGAATTTATCAAAACTGGAGCAGAGAAAAGCTAGAGCAGATGTCCATGGCAACCAATCAACATCTCTCTTTCATTTTCAAATCTTAACAGACCAAACTGAAGAGAGAAGCTGATTGGTTGCCATGCACAACTGCTCCAGTTATTCTCTGCTCCAGTTTTGATAAATGTCCCCATTGTATTCTGACAGAATACCCGATCAGAGTGGGCAGCTCATTGGCTGCCGGCTCTGATCGATCGAAAATTTTCCAGTCGGCTCCTTCGATCAGCTGATCGAGTAATGCCGGCTGAAAGGGAGCTGTCAGTCCCACACATGAACTTCGGCCGATACATTAAAAACCGGCCGAAATTCGACCAGTGTATGGGCACCTTTAATATCGGGCTATTGACAGGTGGTTTCATTTCCAGCATATATTAAAAGCTGAAATGTCAGTTTTGGATGGACTGACCCGTTATCTGGGGAAAGAGATGAATCTTTAGAGGAAACCTGTACTGAAAGATGTTGGTTGCCATTATAGACCTCCCCATCTGAAAATGCTAGTAACCCCCATTAAGCAGCTCATACTACAAATCTTCAAAAGTCGTGTACTACTACAAATAATCATGATAAATGTTTATGGCTAAGATTTGCTTGTTGCATTATGGTTTAAGCTGTAGTTTTGTACATTTTCTCTTTCTGGTTTTCAACACATTTTGGATAACGCGTTGCAGGATAAATAATAAACACATCAAATTTTATACACTTGATTTATAAATGTAAACATTTTGTTTGATCAGAAAAAGTCAAGGTGTTGGTAATTTGTCTTTTCGAATCCATTGTAATATTTCTAAGCTTACATTTCAGTAGTGGTTGAACCTATTAGTCATTACAAATCCTTCATTTACTTCCAGACAATCTAGACAGGTGTGTACCTCGACCATAATACAGTCTATTCAGAAAAAACTCTAAAGATAATAAAATCACTGTTTAAACTGCCTACGTATTGCCAAATAGCATGCATCGGAATGAAACTAGTTAATTACACTGTACAATAATGTTAGTGTAGAAGACGTTGCGTTCTGTTGACAGAAATACCACAAAACCAAGAGGAAGTGTGGGTGAGTGTGGGCAGGTCAGGCGGTCAGAAACCTCACTGTGTCACTATCCAATCTGATGATGATTGGATGATGATGCTTGTGGATACAGTTTAAATTCTGCTACTCCTGAGCCCTTACACAGCAAAACATTGCATCTGATTTCACAGCATCATTGCTTAATAGTGACGGAGAGCTCCTTGCATTTTGCAGTATCATCTGGATTAGAGAGAAGCTAAGGTAAGGGATATAATCAGCTTCATCTGCTGGTCATTTCACTGCTTGCATTCCACTTCTTTAAGCTGATGACTTAGAATAATCACAGTATTAATATATACTTTGTATTTTTCAGATATTGATTTAAAGATGAAAACTGCTGTGTTCATTGCATGCCTTGTCGGCTTGGCCTATGCATACCCAGTAAGTATCTATAAATCGTTATGCTTTATTAAAAAAAATTTTGTGGGCAAAAGAATCCTAGAGCTAAGTATATTTAAAATAATTATTTACTGTACAATAGCTTTTGGAGAGTATTTACGCCTCTAATAATAGGTACGTCATGCTGTGTGCAATGCAGTGACAAATGAAAAAAGCAAGTCATCCACTGACAGATCTGTAGTGTAAAAAACAAATGTGATGCCTTTCGTTTTAACTTTTTAAATATTATTTGCATTGCATGGGTAAAGTTTGGGAATTTCATGCTATCAATGAATGCTAGTAATAGGGCAATCATTGCATTGGGCAACAGCATGGGCCCACTGTACTACGCAGTCTTTAGTCACCTACTCTTCCAGTGTTTTAGTATCACCTTTCAGTACCAATTGTAGGCATACCGTTATAAATATAATTTGAGGTATTATAGACTGATGTAGATACTATGAAAACTGTGACTGCTGCCATGCTTTTTTGTACCGTAGGCTCAAGGATGATGATGCTTATTATCAAAAAAAATCTTAGTCGTATACAGTGAAGTCCAATGAGATTGAACAATTATGGTTTCATATATAGATGGGTGTGCAGCGTGTGTCTATATACAATTTGACCTCAGTGTCACGAGCACAGCAGCTTTTATTATTATTATTTTTTTAATAATTATATTATATTATTTATATCCATAAGCGCGGATTATATATATTGTATAATTATGGTTTCATGGCTGAAACTAAAGATCCTTATCCTTGTGATAAAGCTTTGTGAACTGAGCCTTAATTATTTTTAGAATAAGTTTGCATCTCTAAACTGCACCACATTTTCCTGAACTCCGTTATTAGTAGCAAGAGAATAAGCATTCTAATTAGGACTGTACTGCAGCTGATGATGGAAGTCAATGTACATGAAATGGTACATGCATGCAGCCTACAGCTTGCCTGCGATAGTTACAATCGAGTAATTTGTCAAAGGTGTTTAGCAAAATTCAATAACATGGGGACCCTCTGAACAAGGAGCATCCTGGTCATCCTGCTGACCTCCATGTCATTACAGGATACAGTATTGATATGCAGGTCAGGAACCCGAGGGAGCTGCAGGGCATTCAGGAGATTGACACTCCTTTAGTGTGTGCCAGTGGACTTCGGGGTCCATTTCGAAGAAATGGAGTGGTGTTTAGGTCACTTAATAATATATAACTCTAAAATTCCTTCATGTTTGTGGAAAATTTGTGCATAACCGCATATTAGTTTAATTGTTTGCTTATACTGTGTAAGAACACATATAGGAATAGCGTGTCTATTCCTTTACATGAGAAATATGAATTTGTTCATTAAAGATTATTCCAAAATGAGGTGAAGCTTAAAAACCATCTTACAGACAGATTACTTTCTTATAAGATAACATATTTATTCTATTTTTTTTTTTTCTTTTAGCTATCAGACTCAAATTCCTCTCACATGGTTAGTATATATATATTTTTTTATATTTGCAGGACAAATGTCAAATAATACAAGCTTTGTCTTTTTCCCCGATACATTTCAGTGTTTCCTAAAATTAGTTTATGAGGTCCACATTAAAAATCATTAGCCATGTAGCTTCCCCATTAACCAAAGTGTTTAGATATGTTAAAGACATCATCCATGGTTTTATTTATAGTATATAGCTTTGTGTCATTTTCAAACACATGAATAGTATTTTGAATTTGAAAGTTTATCCAACTCTACATTTACAAGCACTGGGTTTATGCACAGTAGCCCCTAGACTGTTATTAGTGGGAAGGCTGTCAAGGTTAGGTCTTAATTCAGCCAGTAGATCACACTTACTACACCAAAAGTAGTTCTAACACTGCTTGGGTTAATATTATTATTATTATTTTCCTATGTTTTTAGGATTCATCTGAAAGCCACAAATCAGATTCATCCCGAGATACGTCTTCTTCAGAAGAGTTCACAACCCCCCCAGTAAATATTACACTGATGCCCTTAACCGATGAACCAAGAGGTGACAGCCCACGTCTCAGACGTGCTTTAAGACAGGTAAAGGTCACAAAGCTATACTATGTCTACATACTGGAAAGACTGCTTTAGACATAAGCATCATTTGTTTTAAGGGTTAACTTCATGAACAACCACTTGCTGGCAATCACTTCATTTGCAAGGATTTCATTATTTTACAAACAAAGTGACTGCCAACAAAAAGTTAAACTGCTCAATACCATAAGAATGAATCTTACATTCTGTAGGTTTTAAGGAGGTTTGCCAGTCAAACACTAAGGGGTCTATGTATAAACAATTTGCGGTGCCATTCGCCCTGTGAACATCTGTTAACCTTCGGTCTGTGAGAATATATGCCAAAACCAATTTTTTTTAGTATTTTCTTTACAAGTACAATGAATTGTTAAATGTTTTCATGTAATATCACATTATGGTGACTAGATGGAGCTAAAGGAGCATAGGAAATAAGTATTTATTATGCTCCTCAGTGCCATCTAATGGCTATAGTGTGATATTACATTAACACAATTTTGAAAATACATTCCCTTGTAAAGAGACAACTAAAGAACATTTGTTTTGGCATATATCATTTCTGCAAATGTGTGTAGGTTATCAGGCACCTCTGTACTTTGCCTATCAATGGATTCACACCAGTTCATGTGGCAGACATGTGGGTTCCTGTATACACCTCAGCACAACACTGAGAGCCACCATTTTGTTTTTAAGGATTACATGCCGGTCAGTAAAAAAAAGTCGCCCATAGTTTGGGTAGTGAGCAGTGCTGCATAGTAATATGTCAGCCAATAAACAGCAAGTAGTTTGATTGAGCAGGATTCCCTGATGTCAGCAGTGAATATGCTGCCTTAGGACTGGTCCTCAAGCAGATGACCACCTGAATTTACAGGATTTATTTGGGACAAATGGCAGAGTCACAACCTAGAATTCAGGTTAGAGCCAGTGATTTGGGAAGTTGGAATTATTATGTCTGTAATTTCTATATTAACATTCCCTAGCATATTAATTAAAGGGGTGCTAAACCCTCCTGGTTTTTTTGCCTATATCTACTGCTAACAGCGGTTTAAACGTACCTTTTTTTCTTTGCGCGCTCCCGCGCCGAGAATGAGGAACTGCTCGTACGGCCGCAAAAGATCTTGGGGCGGGCGCATGCGCAGTAGAACTCTTGGATGAAAGTTGTGTGAGTCTTGGGTGAAGAAAATAATAAATAATCTTTTTTTAGTGTGCATTAACAAACAATTAGAAACTTCTGACCCCAGAACTAAACTCTATTCACAGGTATACATAAGATTACCGTATTTTTCGCTCCATAAGACGCACTTTTTTTCCCCCAAAAGGAGGGGGAAAATGTGCCTGCGTCTTATGGAGCGAATACCTATCGCCCGACACCCGGGACATGCAGTTTCGGGCGCCGGGCGAGTAGTTTCTTTTTGTACATTCAGCCCTGCTCCTGACAAGCAGAGCTGAATGTACAGTGGGAGCCGCTGTTCGTTTAATACAAGCGATCTAACTAGATCCCTTGTATTAAATCGAGCAGCGGCGGCATCGGCGATAGTGTCCGCCCCCCGCCGAGGTTTTCTGGGTCTCCCGTTCCTCTGTGGGACTGTGACCCGTCACGATCCCCCATAGGAGCTCACCATAGAGCCCATTGAGCAGACGAAGACCGACGTTCTTCGTCTGCTCTGTGTGATTACTGAGACAGCGCCACCTGTCTCAGCAGTCACTAACTGCAGCTTCTGTGACAGAATTTCTGTCATAGAATTTCTGTCACAGAAGCCATGCGTCCTATCGTCCGGAGCGTCTTATAGACCGCAAAATACGATATGTGGTTATGATATATGTACACTTGACAGTTTTGAATTCTATGGGGGTGATTTACTAACCTAAACACACGCACGCACCAGGTGCGTGTGATTTTCACACAGCAAAACGTATTTATCAACCAAAAAGTCTCTAAAAGCATATTTCCACTAATGCCATATATGGAAAAATCATGCACATGATGCATATATAATGCGGCTTCACAGTTCAGACAAAAATGGTTAGCTCATGCATTTACATTCCTGCATTCATCAACGCAAGCAACACAACATAGAGCTAATTTACACAACATCACCTTGTAATTCATGCAGGGCTTTGCACAACACACCTGCTGGGTGTGTACACACTACAAAGGTGTTTAGATTCCACCCATAGATCATGCTGGGAGGGAACACACTACAGAGGTGTATACATGTTCGTGGTGTGTTTATAAGGTTAGTAAATCAACCCCTATGTGTTTAGTAAATATTATATTTTTCCCGTAGTATGTATCTTCAAGCGAAAGTCACAGCAAATCCATCTCATTCCCTGACTCCTCCTCTTCCTCCTCCTCTGAAGAATTGAGAATTGTTCCTACCGCTGATGGGACAACAGCTGGTCAAGCAATGACAGAAAACCTGCGCCGTAGACGTGCCGCTGAACAGGTAATACGGTTTATTTTAATTAATTGAATTTTGTATTTATTTAAATTAATTTATCATGGTAAATGATGACTTAATAATCAATTTACAGCAGTTGTAAATATGCAAAGTGTTATGTTTCACACCTCCTGTCAGGGTACCGTACGCAGGTGTCCTCACACCGCATGCAGACACCCCCACGGGAGGACCAAATATGTGACCACACTTAGACAAGGCCAATGAGTATATATAAAATTTATTATAAACAGCAACATAAAGAACAAGCAGGAATCAGGACTACAAAAACAGGTAACAGGGCTCAGGGCCCCAGGACTGCAAACAGGGTTCAGGACTGCAAACAGGGTTTAGGACTGCAAACAGATAACAGGGCCCAAGGACTGCAAACAGGGTTCAGGACTGCAAGCAGGGTTCAGGACTGCAAGCAGGGTTCCGGACTCACAGGAACTGATAAGATACCGAGCCATCGTCCTGACTGCAGGGAGGGTTTAAATACCCTCCCAGGAAAGCACCAGATTATGGCTAATTGCTAGCAGCTGGGAGACACCCGCAGGTGAGCACTGGAGCTGCAGGTTCCAGCACCACCCAGTGGTGGACTGGCACCTAACAGTTCCTGGCTGCCTGGATACACCTGCAGGTGAGCACAGGAACTGTAGGGCTTAGCTCCAGCGCCACCTGGAGGTGCTCTGGATCATAACACCTCACTTTCCTGAGAGCTTTTATTGTAAGAGAATTGGTGCAGGCCCTGGACCCTGGAGGGGAGTAGAAAAGTGGCACACACAGCGCATCAAACCAAATAGTGGGTGTGGCCAAATTTTGCTAATGATGGGTGGGTCTTAAAGGAGCAGGGTTAAATTAAGCAGTCCTTGGAGCCACACAACACGCCACAACACGCCAATGAACCGCTTCAATGACATATGCTTTTCAGCCTAACTTGAAGAAGAACTTCATCAAATTGTGAATGACTACTATAAAAAGATTAGATTATTATTATTACTATTATACAGGATTTATATAGCGCCAACAGTTTGCGCAGCGCTTTACAATATAAGGAAGACATTACAATCACAATACAATTCAAGACAAGATGGTAAGGAGGACCCTGCCCGTGAGGGCTTACAATCTAAAAGGGAGGGGCAAGTGATGCATGAGGGGGTAGCTGTGTGGGGATTATTAGATTGTGTCGGGTAAACAGATACCAAATATGTCAATCCCAGGAAATGGGGAAAAAATACCCAACATTAGCCAATCGGTGATTGCTTGAAAACCTTTACAACTCATTAGTTTAGAGTTAACCAAAAATGTTGAACCTCAAGTTATTTCTCACTCTCTGGCACCTACAGCAATACCTAATATGTATTGCTCAATCTTTGCTTATGCATTTGTGTGTGCCTTGCCCGAATTTGCATTCATGTATGCATGGGTACAGGGGCTTTTACCTTTCATTAAAAAATTCTATTACAATTTAAATCTGTAGACAGTTTTTATGGTTTATTTAATTTTTTTTATTTTATTGCTATCACAAGGAGGCCTCCAATACCAGGCACATTGGCCATCAATGGTGCTCAAATACTAGAAATGAGTGTGAAGGTGGCTCATGACTAACCTATGTTTAGAAACACTGCTACAACAATTAAAAAAAGCATAATCCAGCATGAATTGAATTTTTCTAACTGTGTTTATCTTGTATTTCGGCATAGAAACCTCAAAGCAGCTCCTCGGAGCAATCATCTTCTGAAAGTACAACCACTGAGAGCACAAGCAGCCAGTCTCCATCCAGTTCAGAAGAAGATAGCCAAGAGCACAGCACTAAGCAGAACTTATTGCAGGGTATCCTGGAGACATCCACTGTTCCCGACACTTCTGAAGAGAGCTCCGAAGAAAGAACAACAAAAACTCCACTCTTCCAGCCTTAAGCATGTCAGCTTATCATGACATTCATTGTTTCTGCCTTCCGTCTTTCTATTTGAGTGAATAGTTTATGTAATGTCATTAATGCAGTTCACTTTTTATAACCTCATATGGAGTCATGCACGTGGTTTTCCAGCTTCCATGTCTGATATATATAGATCTATGCAGATCTATATAGATCTATATATGATCAGTATGCCCAAAACTGCTAACCCTAACCTAATTATGAGACAATGTTAATGTTTTACTGCATGATGGTATGGGTCTTGGTCATAACCACCAACGTATAGATGTAAAATCCCCTAGCTGCTATAAAATCTTCCCATGAATTGAAATCGGTGGTGTATCATTGATGCAACCACTACCTAGCCAGTGTAACAAATCGGTGTGTATGAGAGGCCTTTATTACTGTACTGGCTCAAAAGTGAGCTTCCACAATAACTTATGGATATGAATGTTTATTGTATCTGCTGCTGATATATATTTGACACATCACTAATAGACTACTTTCATAACACTAGGGACATATATGCAATTTCCAGTATTTTGTGCATTGCAGAAATAAACCTCTTTCTACTGCATGCATTTTTACTTGACTGTAATGACTGTATAGAAATTAGGTAAGTTTGAGCCTCACAATCACTTATCTTACTTCCTGTATAATCACCTATATGCAATATCAAAATTTTTATTTTAATAAAGATCTATACACATTATTCTCTTCTGTGTCAAGTTGTAATGTTATTACCAGGCGTCTATGATGAAACCGGAATAAGCATGTTCCATACCTCTAAACTTCCTGATATGAGAAAGAGGGACACCTTCCAGCTGAATGTATTTAGGCAATGGACACACCCCAGCCATGCCACCAGTTTTATATAGGTAATTGACACACCCCTGCCACACCCCTATTTTTATATAGGTTATGGACCCCCCCCATTTTTATACATAGGCAATGCACATACCTCTACCACACCCCCCATTTTTATAAATAGGCAATGTGCCACACCCCAATCCAATAGAGATGTCACTTTTAATGCCATAGAGGGTTACAGTGCAAGGACCCACCCTCTGTGAGGCCAGCACATTAAAAGGATATCCGATTTTCATTTTAGGCTGCTAATGTCATGGAGGTGTGGAGTCTTGGCCCCATATCCTCCTGTGGCATTAAATGTGCTATCCATATTGGATGGCAAAAAGGAGCCCGGGTGTATGGAGAGGCCCACTGAACACTCTGCCATTAGTGAAATGGTGAGTGGTCCTTTTAATTGCTTGTAACCAGTTCACTAATATGTCAGATTAATTGGATATTTACCTGACAGAGGGGGTAATAGAGTCTACTAGACTGAATGTACATTATTTAGGCAGCTATGTATTAGTCATCTCTGATAACCTCTGGGAATGCATCTATTTCCCAGTATATCCATCATCAACAGTTTGATGGTTTAGCAAATAATAATAATAATAATAATGAAATCCATGATATGAAGCAATGTATAAATGATTCAGTGATTACTGTGCCAAGATCACCAATGCAAATTTAAAGATTACAGTAAATAGTCATTCAGTTTTAGTGAGATGACTGATACATTTTTGAAGTCTGCAGAAGGCTAAGTGTCCAGGTTTCTTGGACACCATACATTGATTTCTGACTTCAAAATATCTAACACATTTTACCCTGGCACAGGGCTTTTGCCAATGAAACAAACATGAATATAAATATTAGCTCTCATGTCAGTGCCTTCTAACCTATCTCTAATACATAAACTGATCTTAACACTTAACCGTGCCTCTCAACTAGGGATGAACATATCTACCCAGGTTACATTTGTTGAGGGTTTGGGTGAACCCAAAATTAGCCACAAATCCCATTGGATTCTAGGGGTAATCCTGTTAGTCAATTCTGACCTTTTAGGACTAATAGGTAAGATATGGCATGGTAACATGGCTACTTCTATAGAAACATACCAATGCTGATACAGGACGGCGCAATTTTGACATACAGACTCAACAAAAACGTACTCTGGATGCATTTTTGGATGCAGAATGTATTTTCTTTAACATTTAGCACATCAGCATTACCCTAATTGGAATAATCTCAACTTTAAACAAAGGGCTTTCTTAGGTATTTTCAGCAGAGATGCATGTTTTTTTAAATCAAGCAGTAATAGGTCTGCTTTGGACAGCACATAGAAATTGAACAGTGGTTCGATGAGGCCTTCCCTATACTTGCTAACGCAAAACTGTCTTGCCACTGGCCAATTTCCATCAAGCTCCCATTAAGAATTTAGATACAGCAGATAATACAGAGGTGTAAAAAGTGGCCAGCAACAGAGCAATTTAATGAGTATGACTCAGCCTTCATGTATTAGAGACAAAGAGCACTGGTCGGTGTTTTACTAAAAAACAGACTGCAGATAATACAGCAGTGTAAACTTGCCCAGCAACAGGACAGTTTTATGAGTAAGACTCGGCCCCCATGTATTAGAGATAAAGATCACAGACAGGTGTTTTACTCCATATAGATTGCAGATTATATAGCAGTGTAAAACTGCCCTGAAGTAGAACAGTTTTAAAGAAGGATAATAGGCCTAACTGGTATATGCCAAACTTTTATTTTATCAATGGGGTAGGGAGTGCAGTAGATGCTTTGTGCACCCCAAGCGGAAAAAAAGCCCTCTCAAAATAAAAGCCAATATACTCTTTAAAAGAATGAACCCCCAAATTACCACCTCCATAAAACAAAAGCCCACAAAAAAGCAGGATGCTATGGATAAGGCAGCAGCTAAAAGCGATCACTGCCCATCTACCCGCCCCATAGACATCTATGGGGTTCTACTCCGCATGCGTGGGCAGCAGTAAGAAGAGGATGGGCCGGCTACATTGATGCCAGGGGACTTGATTCCACAACTTGATAACTATGTGGCTGAAAGGGGGGAGGGTAGGTTACTGAATATCTGCCCAGTGTAATGGGGAGAGGTAAGGAAACTTTAAAAAAAACACTTTTTGAAAATGTTCTTACACTTTAACAAAAAAACAAACACTTTTTATAAAAAGATTTTATGTAGTCAGGAATCCTGTCACATAATAGACAGAATAGAACAAAAGTAGCCCCTCTTCCAGAAGGAAGGACAGTGTCAGGATGAAGTCAGAGATGATGTGAGGATCTACAGCTGAGTGATATACAAATAAGATACATTTTTGTTAATAGTTAAGGTAAGTGTAGTGTCACTTTAATAACGTACATAAAGTGTTAGTACAATTCACCTTTGTCTAGGACCATAATATTGCTCTGTACTTGAGATGTTAGGACAACAGCTATAAGAATATATTTGGTTACCCAGTTTCACTTCACACATAGGCTGCAAATGGTCAATTATCTGTATGTACATTCACCTCCTCCCTCTGTTCAGCAAAGGCTAGTTATCCTGTTGCCTAGCAACCATCCTAACAAACGATTTCTGCATCTCCCTCCCTATAAAGAATGACATCAAGCAGGCAATAAAAAGTCATTGTGAGTGATAGAAGAGTATGTAATCACACATGATATGTAGCATATGTACAAAAGTAGAAAAAAATAATCAGAAGTTCTTTCCATGTACTATTATAGCCAACGTCGGGTTCCATTCTACCAAATTCATACAGAAATCTCTGCACAGCTGAATGCGGATCTTTTTTTTTTTTTTCTACAGAAAAAAGACTTTTAAGGAAAATTTCACCTTCTGAAAAAATAATAAATGCACACGTAGAAAAAATAACAGAAAAATGTGCATTTACTATATTTATTGCATAGGAGCCAGTAAGGCATTGGCATCAAAATAGCGCTTGCAGCATTTTGATCGCACAGGACCGGATCGCAGGCATAATATGCCTTGCAATACCGTGGGGCCTGCCCCACAAAAAGCTGAGACGGCCACAATGCGTGGTGTGAACGTACCCTAATTCTGTGTGTCTGCAATTATTGGGACTCAGGGGTGTTCCTTGCCTTTTTGCCATCTGAGACCGCGGGGAAGGGGGGCAGGTGCTGGTGATGCACGGTAATGGCGGGGGGAGATCATCTCACCGCCCAGCTCTGGCCGGTGTCCCACTCAGCTCACTGACAGCACCGGTTTCCAGGAGCTTGGTGCGACGCCGGCCAGAGAGTCCCAGGTTGCTAAGAACTGGGTGGAGAGATGTGTATGGCCCAAAACCGGGGACGCTCTGGCTGGAAAGGGGGCCTCATTTGTGACTCTAACATCCCGTTCACACCAGGCTGAAATGCAGACATTAAAAAACCCTACATTCCTATGTGGACCGTTCATGCAAACGCTTTGCCTGAGATGCTCCCTGAGCTACTTTTGTCGCGCTGATTAGTGCGTTTTTCATACAGACTTCAACGAAAATGCACTGATTAGTGTTTTTTTGGGCTTTTTAAAATGCATTCCAGCACTGAAACGCCCATAAAAAATGCTTACAAAAATTGCATGCACTGAAACGCTGTCGCACTGGTATAAATGGGGCCTAAGAGATGCAGGTCTCAGGATGCCTCATTATAAGGACGACCTTGCTGGGGCTTATTTCCTAAAGCAAATGTTTTTCTGTTACAGTCATATATGAAACATGGTCACATCGCTTCCCCCCCTCCCCAGAATTTCAGGGTTCCTCTCCCCACAGGCTGGTTTACAAATTCGGTGCAGCCCTGTGTAGTTCCGCCATGGAGAAACTACAAGCCCCATCAGCAACAGCAGCAGAGGGACTTGTAGTCATTCATTCTTCCTCATCCATGTTACTGAATGTCTGTACCTCAGTATGGACATGGACAGGAGGAAGGGTCTGCAGGAGGCAGAGCATTGCACCTAAGGTTGCAAGGCTTTACAGTCTCCAATACACAAATATAACAAATGCCCATTTTGTTTTCTTTTCTGAAGTATTTTTATTACAAAAGCTGGAATTTCCCTTGAAAACTGTGAGTATAAATGGCAGGTTGCCTTATGTTGTGAAGCTCACACACAATGACATAATGGAGTCCTCCTCATAGGAAAGTTTCACAGAGTTGGTGAAGGGGGGGAGGGGCAGGGACCTGGTTGCCAAGCTTCAAGCACAGCCTTTTCCTGCTCTCCGGATAACGGGTCTGTGTAGAGAGGAAGGAGGGCGGGATTCCAGAAGGGAAACACGAAATAAAGTCACTCATCAATACAAGGAAAAAAGTTGGAGCTAAGATGGCTGCTGGACAGGGGGGCAAGGAGAGCCGCTGCCCAGCCGCAGTATGGTGAACCCCAGCCGTGTCAAGCCCCAGCCGCCCCCAGAACTGGACGGAGAGGAGAGGAAGAAGAGGAGAAAGGGCGATCTGGAGATGAAGACGGTGCCAGCCTCCTCCTCCCCCCCCAGGATGATGGAAATGGACACCATTCCCAGACAAGGGGCGCCCCCAGGGGGATCCACCCCGTCCCCTCTCTCCTCCTGTTCCCGACAGGCGTGGAGCAGGGACAATCCGGGCTTCGAAGCAGAGGAGGACGGCATGGAAGAAGAGGAGGAGGACGGAGAAGAGGGCACGGTGGTAGAGATGGATGTGGAGTGGCATCCTTCTGCAGGACATGCCCGGAGGTCTTCATCCCTGGTATCCTCCAGTAGTGGAGGCAGCACTGGCCTGGTCGGATATCACCACCATCCCAATAGTATCGGAGGACAGGGGCAGAGGGGGAGGAGGAGGAGAGGAGAGCCTGGCACTGTAACTGGCACCGCCAACCAAGGAGCTGAGCCGACTCAGGAGCTGGAAGGATGGCCAAAGATCCTGCACACTGTCCGAGGTAACTTACAGCACCACATGGGTGCTGATTGATCTGTGTACTGTAGATGTTGGTGTTCAATATTAGTTATATATTTCTCAATGTAGCTCTCTATATCTATAAGTCTCTCAATATACAGCAGTGGTGGCAACGCCAGCTGTTTTTTTTTATCTACAAATCCCTGCATCTGCCTCTGGGAGTCATGCCTGTAACTGTCAGAGTCTTCCAATGCCTCATGGGACTTGTAGTTCCACAACAGCTGGAGAACTGCAGTTGTCCACCCCTGATATACAGTATATACATAGAGAGAGAGCCAAAAGTAGGCGATCAAAAGAGGATGAGGAAAGCCAAATGTTTGTGTTGTTATGCCGGCGTTTCTGTGAGTCACAGCCCACTTTTCTCAATGGCCTTGAAAAAAGGTGGGCTCGGGCTGGCCAAAACGTTGGCATAATAACGCAAACATTTGGCTTCCCTCATCCTCCTTTGGAAGTCCTTTTGAGTGCCTATTCTATCTTTGTCTACAGTTTTTTAAACCCTGAAAAAATAAATATATATATATAATTACCTACACACACTACATTACCAAAAGTATTGGGACACCTGCCTTTACTCGCACATGAACTTTAATGGCATCCCAGTCTTAGTCCGTAGGGTTCATTATTGAGTTGGCTCACCCTTTGCAGCTATAACAGCTTCAACTCTTCTGGGAAGGATGTTCACAAGGTCTAGAAGTGTGTCTATGGGAATGTTTGACCATTCTTCCAGAAGCAGATTTGTGAAGTCAGGTGCTGATGCTGGACGAGAAGGCTTGCCTCGCAGTCTTCGCTCTAATTCATCCCAAAGGTGTTCTATCGGGTTGAGGTCAGGACTCTGTGCAGGCCAGTCAAGTTCCTCCACCCCAAACTCACTCATCCATGTCTTTATGGACCTTGCTTTGTGCACTGGTGCGCGGTAATGTTGGAACAGGGAGGGGCCATCCCCAAACTCCTCCCACAAAGTTAGGAGCATGAAATTGTCCAAAATGTCTTGGTATGCTGATGCCTTAAGAGTTTCCTTCACTGGAACTAAGGGGCCAAGCCCAACCCCTGCAAAACAACCCCCCACCATAATCCCCCTCCACCACTTGGCACAATGCAGTCAGGCAAGTACCGTTCTCCTGGCAACCGCCAAACCCAGACACGTCCATCAGATTGCCAGACAGAGAAGCGTGATTCGTCACTCCAGAGAACACGTCTCCACTTCTCTAGAGTCCAGTGGCGGTGTGCTTTACACCACTGCATCCCACGCTTTGCATTGCACTTGGTGATGTAAGGCTTGGATGCAGCTGCTCGGCCATGGAAACCCATTCCATGAAGCTCTCTACGCACTGTTGTTGTGCCAATCTGAAGGCCACACGAAGTTTGGAGGTCTGTAGCTATTTACTCTGCAGACAGTTGGTGACTTCTGCGCACTTCAGCATGCGCTGACCCTGCTCTGTCATTTTACGTGGCCTACCACTTCGTGGCTGAGTTGCTGCTGTTCCCAGTTGCTTCCACTGTGTTATAATACCACTAACAGTTGACCGTGGAATATTTAGTAGCAAGGACATTTCACGGCACACCTGAATCCAACGATTTGGAGGGGTGTCCCCAGTACTTTTGGCAATATAGTGCAGGACCATGGAGTGAAGCAACTATTTTTCTATATTGGATCATCCCCTAGACAACATTGTAGTCTACAAAAGGTGGAGTGGGAAGTGCAATTGTATTTCTTTTCTTAAAGTAGAACTCCAGGCAAGTGAAATCTTAACCCTTGCAGGGGGGCTACCCCCACACTGCAAGGGTTAGGTGCTTGTTTTGTCTAGGAAGCTAAGCAAATCAAAGTTATACTCACCTGAAGCACAATCCCGGCTGGCTCCTAGACTGCTCCCCTCAGCCTTGCTACCCCTCAGCTCCAGCAATGGACTGTCCCTCAGCGTCCTGATGTTCTATACACTGTATAGAATGTGATGACTCACAGGGCCTTAAACCACTAGAGTGGAGGGGGATTGAGGCTGGAGGCAGAGGTGTAAGAGCAAGTCAGGATCGTGGTTCAGGTGAGTATAACTTTGTTATCTTAGTTCCCTAAACAAAACGAGCACTTCACACTGGCAGTGCAGGGGTAGCCCCACTGCAAGGGTTAAGATTTGATTGCCCCGGAGTTCTGCCTCAAGCTGGCTACCCAAAGCTTGAAATTGAAACTGCGAGTGGCAGTGCTGGTTTGGAAAAAGGCAATTTTTCAGTTGACCTCTCTTATAGGAGCCAGATTGAACATTTTAGGGCAAAGGGTGACTGCAGCCAATCGGATGCAGTCACTGCTCAGGTATTCTGACAGCGTCAGGCGCCGGCTGTCTGAATACAGTAACCGCTACATAAAAATGCAACATCTGCGACATTTTTAAATCTGCTGCTGTAGCTGGTTGCAATGCTTATTTAAGCAGCGGGTGTGCCATTACCATCAGCGGCTACATTGGATGACAGGAGTGGCGATTCTGGTGCTACAAATGGCTGGGAATTTCAGCAGAACCTTCAGAGACCTTCTATTGCCTGTGAACACTAAGGAAAACATTTGTGTGGCTGCTAGAAATCGCTGCTATGAAATGGTCAGTGTGACTTGGGCATGAAGCCACCCAATCATTTCTTGGAGTCTTCTAGCAGGTACCAGCCAATGAATAACAACTGGGCGGAGCCGGCCATGACGTCCAACTAGTTGTTATTGTTTAATGACAGTTCAGCGTCATTTGGGACGCTGATCTGTCATTACAACTGGGTGAAGCCAGTCGTGAGATCACGGCTGGCTCCGCCCAGCTGTCATTTGCGGGGCTTACGGCCAGCCTTCGACAGGCTGTTCTCCCAGCTTCGGCTGTCACTTCCGTTCAGTCGAGCCAAAGCATATGCCTTTGGCTCGGCTGAGCCGCTCGGCTGCTGTACGGGCTATAGTGAATGGCCCGTACAGCAGCTCTCCCAATCGACTGAACCGAAGGGGTCCGGGCGGCACGAAGAGAGCCGAAGGAACAGCCAAAGCTACGAATGGATCCTTCGGCTCCTTCGTGAATGACCCCCTTAGTTTCACCATTCTGGGTTCTATTTATAAAAAACAAATATGCAGGGGGATTGGGCCTGCAAAACTCTGTGAATGTGCGTTCTGTGCAAATAGAGGCGGAAACGAATGTTCTTTTGTATATTTGCTTTTTAGGTCAAATGTACAGTAACAACTATGTGAAGGAGGCCTAGCAGTCCTTAGTTGTGGCTGCATTTGTTGTTTTTTTTCAGGCAATATTTCCTTTTTATTTTCACTTGGTGATTCTGCCCGTAACACACTTCCTGTATTAGGGTGACAACACAAAATCACTTTACTATGAAGGAGCTGTGTTGTCACCCTAGGCTGCTCAATCCCTATTTGGACTATAGAACACCTTCTCCTCTTCTAATTCATAATGAAGAGCAAGGCCTTCTGTAGTTCAAGGGGGAGCTGGGCAGAGCTGTTAACATTGTAGGATTTCAGTGCAGCAGAGGAAGCACTGTTGTCAGCCCACTACAGAAAGTTATGAGCTCTCTGGATTTCTGGCAGGATCAACAGTTTTGTTTTTAGCACTTACATGAACAGTGTCTTCACATGTTTCCTTTTTTCTTCTTGTACAGGTCTCTGGGGTACAAGATACACAGAAGATCGTATAACTACCAGAGAGAAATACCTGAAGAGCGTGCTCCGCGAGCTTGTCACATATGTGGTGTTTCTTATTCTCTTATGTATTTGTAAGTATAAGCTGCCAATGATCACACTACTTTAAAGAACTCCTGGAAAATCACAAACTTACCCTTGGAGTGGGGCTACCCTGCAGTGCAAGGGTTAAGTGTTTGGTTTGTTTAGGGCAGGGGTAGGCAACCTTGGCTCTCCAGATGTGCTGAAACTACAAATCCCATAAGGCATTGCAAGCCACAGACATGACTCCCAGAGGCAGAAGCATGATAGCTGGAGAACCAAGGTTGCCTACCCCTGGACTAGGGTATCCAAATAAAGCAGATTTTTTTTTTCCATGATCCTCAGTCCCTCCGGGCTGCTAGACCGGTCCCTAAAGCCTCTTCTCCCCTGGGCTCTGGTGGTCTAAGGATCACTGACATCATCATGTCTTATGCAGGTCCACTTACTTGCATTAGATGTGAGGACACCGACAGAGCGGAGGTGGAGAGAGGTGAGTGCTGACGTCTGCAGGGCCAAGGTTTAGGTTGCAATGACCCGCCTCCTGGCTTCCTGGTTGGTCAGGCTGCCTAGGCAAGTGAAATGAATATTAAAATGAAATGACATTTTACAGGGTTATTCACAAAATGGTGAAGAGTTTGGAGAAGGCCGGAGAAGTGAACAATCTAGGACAACATTTGGAAAAATTCTCCAATTCAGCTCACTTTCCAGTTCAGCTATGTTGTCCTAGATTGATCACTTCTCCTGCCTTCTCCAAACTCTTCACCATTTTGTGAATAACCCTGTAAAATTTCATTTCATTTTAATATTCATTTCACTTGCCTAGGCAGCCTGACCAACCAGGAAGCCCGGAGGCGGGTCATTGCGTGCCGCCCGGCTTCCTGACTGGTTAGGAAGCCAGTCTGGCTAGCAGAAAGTGAAACCGGTCTCCTAACCAATCAGGAGGCGGGTCATAACCCACCACCCAGCTTCCTTATTGGAAAGGAAGCCATCTCCATGCTCCCTCAGTACTGCCGGTTAGAGGGAGATCTTCCAATATCAGAGCATTTGGGCGAGTACTCACACAAATACTCGGTATCGGCACCGTTACTGATACTGGTATTGGTATCGGTGCATCCCTAGTTTATACTACCTGTATGGATGCTAGGTTGTTCTTAGGGCCCATTTACACTTCTCCATTTTGATGTGTTTCTGTAACATTCATTATATTGTGGTGCCATTCGTTCACCTCTGACGCACATGTGCTACAGCGCACTACGACACACAGTACTAACTGCTGCGAGTTGCTGTATTCTGCATCAGAAAAAATGCTGAATGTGCCCTTTTGCCTGTTTTTGTCTGTTCTGGTGCATTGGCTGCCCATTGATATTAGTTGGTTGCTTTACTGCAATGCACATTAACACACAACACAAGGTGTGTTAGGGCAATAGACCAGAACATGCTAAGTGAGAATGGGCCTTTAAAGTAATTCAGTCAAACTCAAGCATGCAAAAACAGAGTTCTTCTCTCCACTACCTAGAATTTTTAAAATTATAATCCCTGCGCTCCTGTGTGCAGCCCAACAAGTAAAATGTTTTCCTTCTTCCCTGTTCCAGCGATCTTCAATGTGCAGCCCTGCCAAAAACCTTCCCGCTGGGTCCTCTTACTGTATATGCCTCAGGGTCCTCTTCAGCACCCTTCAGGGCTCCCTCCTATTTATTCCAAAGGTACACTGCTCATTGGTTATGGCTGTGCTTGGTTAAGGCAGGCTGGCAGTGGATGTGTCGGCCTCCAAGGCTGGTGCATCCACTGCAAGCCATAGCCCAGCGCAGGTCAGCGATCGTTCCTCTTTAGTCTTTTGTTGCTAGGACCACTGGCATCATAGCAACCAATGATTTCCGTAGGGTTGCAACTAACACTTATTTTCATAATCGATTAGTTGGCCGATAATTTTTTCAAATAATCGGAAACCCCCCCCCCATCTTTTATTTAAAATAAAATACACAAATGGAATGTTACAAACAAAATTTACTTCAGAATAAAACTGCATGAAAATTTTTTGCAATCACACTGCACATTTCAGTGCAGGCGATCACACTGCAGACGGGAGGCCAGTTTGGGGTGCCACTGAAATGAATGGCACTGCAACGCACATCCTGCAACAGAATTTGTCCAGCCGAAACCAAAAAAGACTTCCCACGTTTTTTTATTTATTTTTTATAACTGTTTGTATTATATTAGACATTTTAATTAGTTTTATGGATTTAAAATAATCTGAAATGAAAACTCCAAGCCAATATAATAAACATTTTTATAACAAACTTTTTTAAAATGACACAACATTTGACAAAAAATAAAATGTGTGTGTGTGTATCTCTATCTCTAGATGTAGATGTATAAAATATAAAAGCTCAGTCATCACTTTAGAGTTAGCCATGAATATTGGCCAGAGAATTATTGCTCTCACTCTGATGAACCCGGCGATACCTGGCGTGTGTAGCACAATCGTAATTTTTCATACGTAAGTGTACCCGACTTGTGTTTCCGTTAGCATCAGCACGTTTGCGGGGTCATTCGATTAAGTCGATCAGTTGTTGCAGCCCTAGACGTCAGAGCTCCTCCTCTGCAGTCATTGGTTGCCAGGACCGCAGGGCAGTTCTAACAACCAGTGACAAATGTCTTCCCGCTGCCAGCATTATGGGAGGACGTCCATAATGCTGAGGTGTCCGTCCTCTCCTGCAGCTCCTGGTGGTGTCCCTCTTGCAGCTCCATTTCCTGCCTGTGAAGAAAACAAAAATAAGCAGGTATGAGCCACATGCTATGTGGGGACTGTAAAGGTCCGTTCACACCTTTTTGCTGTGTTATTCGCACAGTTCTGCACCTACCTGCAAGTTACAGTGTGGCAGGTACTTTGTGTTGCACGCACTACTTTTTTTAAACGGCACTGCACCACACAGCATTACAGTAACACGTAATAGGCCCTATTGGTTCGGCCCTTCCTCAACAGTCCCAGTTTCTCATGTGGCCCCTTGAAAACATTAATTGCCCACCCATGCTTACAATAACAGGGTTTATGTTAGTGGACTGATCATTGAAAAAACTCAATGAGGGGAATTTATCAAAACTGGAGCAGACAAAATCTGGAGCAGCTATGCATGACAACCAATAAGCTTCTCTCATTCATTTTCAAATCTTAACTGAACAAACTGAAGAGAGAAGCTGATTGGTTGCCATGCACAGCTACTTCAGATTTTGTCTGCTCCAGTTTTTATAAATCCCCCCCAATGTATAGTGGTCTGATTGTGTCTGCAGTCTTTGTATAGCTGAGATTCCTGCCATTTTCAAAGTCACCTGGTATGGTTAGGATGATGATGATAACACCTCCCCCCGTAATGAGTTTTTATTTTCATCAGTAAGTCATAATTTCACTTTTAATTCAAAAAGGTAGAAGATGCTTTTAACTCCTAAAAGAACTGTATTATTTTACCGGACAGTTAAGTGTATGATGTAGCTCGCCATACAAAGCAAGTTTGTTATCCATGGAAACTCCGCATGAGAAGGATTCACTAATGTTTATTGAGGTTTTTATACAATCAGTGTCATAAGAAGAATGCCATAAAAGAAACCTTTCTCCACAGTGCAGTACTGGCCATTGTCTTCCCTTGTTCTTGAAGTATGAGCATGAAGAGGAGTGTGCTTGTGTCATTTTACACTGAATCTAATGGTTTTTTAATGTGTGTTACATATATTTGTATCAGGTATAAATAGTGATGAACTTCATCAATCGGGTGTAAAGATTTTCAGGAAAGGCTTTCAGATGACATCCACAATATGTGTGGTCAGTTTAAACACTCGCATTTATATGCTCACAATATATCTGTGTTTCAAGGGACCTGGAAAAATAGAAATCTGCAAATAAAACAACAACAATGTAATATGTAGATTACATAGTATAGTTACATAGTATTTGAGTTTGTGTGTCTGTGTGATTTGTGCATGTGTGTTAACACGAGTCCCTATGTGGTCTAGAACCTCACCTCATATCCACAGTAGTGTTAGGTGAGGACAGACACGGTTCCCAGATGCGAGCAAAACGCATCGGGTTGCTCATATGTAAGTTTATAGAGAGGCAATGCTTGATCGACCTATCTCTTCCAGTCACTCAGGGAGGGAGCTTTCGGGCTACCCCAGACCAGGAGAATGTTGTTCCTGTCGTAAAATAAGAGGAGGCGGAGTAGTGTCTGAGCACTCGAGGCCAGTTCGCCAAACAGACCGAGGAGGCAGAACGCAGGATTGCAGATATTGGGGAAACCCAGGCTATCCTCCATGAAGGAAGTAACCTGCGACCAGAAGGTCTTTATGATAGGGCATGACCAAAAACAATGTAGGAAATCAGCCTCCTGGCCACATCGTTTAAAACAACGTGAGGTCAGTCGAAGGCCCAGTCTATGTAAAAGTGTGGGAGTGTAGTAGACCTGATAGAAGAATTTCATCTGTATCAGTTTGTCCTTAGAGGCTATCACAGAGGACATGTAGCTACTTTCAAAGTCTCCCCAATCGTCTCGTTTACATCTCTTATTGCATTCCTTGTAGCTCTGGAATGCCAATGCAGTTGTTATATTTTATAAATGCCAGCGTCTTTTCTTTGATGTATTGTTTTACCGTTTTATTTAGCCATGCCGGCTTAGTTCTTGATCTTCTTTTATTTTTGTTTCCAAATGGTATGAATTTTGCAATAGCATTGTGTAATGTGTTCTTAAAACAATCCCACTTCTGGTCAGTGTTAGAAATATGTTGTCCCAGTTTGTGTCGCATACTAGGTGATGCAGCTTATCAAGGTTTGCCTTTTTGAAGTTAGTGTTCCTTTCAGACCAATACACTTCTCTTTTCTGTACCCAACGTTAAAATTAATCATCCTGTGATCACTATAACCCAATGTATCCCTAACCGTTATATCTGCAACTAGGCCGGCATTATTGAAAATTAATAGATCTAGTATAGCATTCTTCCTGGCCAGGGCATCAACCATCTGATCCGAGAAATTGTCCCGTAACAGGTTCAGAAAATGGAAAACCTT